TTGTTCATTATCGTCTATTTCTATAATTTGATTTAGTCTGTGCTTGAAAATTGAGAGTTTTGGTTTACAGTTTGTTATGAAACATGTGTATATACAATATTTAGCGATAAGAAGACAGTGTGCAAAGTGCACTAACATGGCGAGGATTGTCAATTATACCGTAAATAATCATCTTCTCGTCTACAATTAGGTCTTGTTTGTACATCGTTTCCACCAGTAACAGAATTCTTTCCAAAATTTTTTTTGCTTCTTTACAATACAAGAATAAATGTTCAATAGTGTGCTTATCTGTGCAATTGTTACATCGATCCGTTTGTACCAGATTTGTTTTTCTTAGCCAACTATTTGTAGCCAGGTAGTGATGGATAATCTTATACTGAAAACATTGTAATTTGGTTTCCCTTGTAGCGACAAAAGCAGCAGTATAGGCTCTCTCGATGTTGTCTTTACCAATTTTTTGTATAATTTCTGATTCTCTACTTGGAGGCACAACTTGTTTCTGAATAAGAATATCATATAATTGTTTGCATGTTGTTGTTAAGGGATGTATCTTTTCGGTATATTCAATAATGTTGTTAGGGGTGCATTTTCTTCCATTGTTTTTAATTATATCTTTCCACTTTTTAGGTATGGCTACTCTTATAGAATTGTATTTCATTATTTGCTTTGAATCCATGGTTATACCATATAGATTATGTAAGTAATTGATTGTTAGAAATGATCCATCCCCATACAACAAATCATTTACACAAATAATGCCAGCATCTATCCAGCTTTTGTAAAACACTGGTACATTCTCGACTAAAATATACCTATTATTCCACAGGACTTGTGAGCATATCTGTCTGTGTGTTTTTGGTTCATAGTGGATAATTTCTTCCCAGGCAGTTACAATATCTTTGTAGAATGGTGGCATGTCATTAAGATTTTAACAGTGAAGTGGAGTAATTACATCGGAACAAGAAGAAGCCTCCCCATCTTGCAAACAAGTATTCGTTTTCTTTTGACGGGTCAGTTATAAATCTTTTGATCCATATAGCTTTTAGAGCTTTATTCATTAAATTAAAATCAATCATTTTAAGCCCACCTTGACATTTGTTGCCAATCAGTGTCTTCATTTTTACTTTTGGAGTTTTTTCTCGCCAGATGTACCTGAATATATATCCATTTACTTGTTTTACAAAATGGGTAGGGACATGCATGACTGAACAGATATATATCAACTTGGAGATACCAATGGTTTTCACAATCAAAATCCGGCCAATCAATGTCAGATTTCGCTGTTTCCATATATTACATCCTTGCACCATTTTTGCATAATTTTTATCAAGGTCTTCCTTATAACACCTTTGTCTGTCATGACCAAAATGTGTACCAAGTGCTTTAATAGGACCATCAGGCCAGCGAATGGGTAGTGGTTTATCTTGTCTTTCTTTATTTGAGCCTATCCAGAGAGCTTCTGTTTTTCCGTAGTTCAAATCGAGACCACTGCATTTTTAAACCGATTTAGAGTATCTAATAGGTGCAGTGCAGAAGCTATATCTAAGAGTAACGATGTCATATCGTCCGCATACATGGATAATTTATGTGTCCTGTCATACAATTGTAGACCGTTAATGTTTACGTCGGCTCTAATAGCTGAGGCTAACATTTCAACACTAATTATAAACAGACTGGATGACAGTGGATCTCCCTGTCTTACACCTCTATGAATATTAAACCAAGGAGATATAAAGCCATTGTTAAGCACACAACATTTCTATATGTATATAGTAATTTGACCCATCTGATTATGTCATTTCCAAAATTTACAGCTTCCAGTGCCTTCAGTATAAATGAGTGTTCAATACTATCATACGCCTTTTTAAAGTCCAAGAACATAAGTAATCCAGGTTTGTTCTTTTTGTCATAATCCTCTATTATATCATAGATACGTCTTATGTTTGTTCCTATATATCGCTGTTTCACAAACCCAGTTTGGTCCTCATGTATTAAGAAAGGAAGAAAACGTTCAATTCTCAGCGTTAGCGCTTTCCTTACGATTTTATAGTCTACGTTAAGCAAACTTATCGGCCGCCAGTTGTCTAAGTTACTTGTGTCTAAACCTTTCTTGGGGATTAATCTTATTACTCCACGCCTAAGTGAAATAGGTAGTGAGTTTATATTGTACGCTTCGTTAATTGCATTAACTAGGTAGGTCTTTAATAATTCCCAATACTTAACATAGAATTCTATGGTAATTCCGTCACATCCTGGCGCCTTGTTTTATTTTTGGATAGAGCCTGTAGTGCCTTTTTTTAGTTCAAACTCTTTGATTTCACCCTCGCAGCTGGTCTTGTGTTCATCATCTAACTTTTTTACCCCTTCGTTATGTAAGAAATACGCTGCTTCATTTATGTTAAGATCACAGTTTGTGGAAGTGTATAATTTTTCATAATATTCAGCTTCTTTTAATAAAATTGTTTGAGGGTTTGTTGTTGTTGAGCCGTCTTCCAAAGTTAGAGAAGTAATAATCTTTTCTTGGTAGTTTCTTTTTTCTAGATTGAAAAAGTATTTTGTACTTCTTTCTCCCTGCTCATACCATCTGCTTCTACTTCTAATAATAGCACCTTTAGTTTTATGATATTGTATACTTTGTAATTTTTCCTTTATTTCTACAGATTAGCTTTTGTTTTCCTAGTATCGTCCGTTTCATCAGTTTCCCTTATCAAACAGTTAAGTTGTTCTTCTAATTCTTTCTCTTCGTTTTTGTAAGCACGCGCTTTATTTTTAGAGTATTGAATGCTGAGTGATCTTATTTCCATCTTAATTATTTCCCACTGTAGACCTGGCTTTTGGGTATCTTCTAGTTTATCCTTAATATTTGAAAGTAAATTTATCATTTGTGTATTAAAAGTTTGATCTGCTAACAATGAGTTATTGAAGCGCCAAAAACCTGGCCCTCTTTTTTGGGGTTTAGGGGATTCAATTGTCATAATCACAGCTTTATGATCAGGGACAGGCGCTACATTAATGCTGCATTCACTTAGGTGTACAGAATGATAAGGTACAAACCAGTAATCTAACCTGCATTTTATACCGTCATTTTGCCAAGTATACTGTCGACAACCTGGATTTTTTTCTCTCCACACATCAGCTAAATTCAAGGAATTCAGTAAACAATTTAGTTCCTTG